GGTGCCAGGAGCCAGGGGGAGGGACCTGCCTGCTGCTCAGAGCCGGGCCCTGGGCCGGGCATTTCCTGGGTGAGGACAGGGTGCGGCCTCGCCCACAGCCCTGAGCCTCTCTCTGCTCAGGGCCCCCCTCGGGCTCTGGGCACACAGAGCGCCCTGGGCAGGGACAGGGGAGGGGGCATGACGGGGCCTCCCGCTGCTCTCGGGCGCCCTGTGCTCCTCTGTCCGCTGAGGGCAGGTGGGCACTCAGGCCCTGGTGCTGCGTGGGCACCGGGGGCACCAGGCACCTCAGACAGGAAGTCCCGCCCCCTGGCACCCCGGCCGCTCTCTATTTGGGGGACAGAGCCAGAGTGGTGACTGGGATGAGAGAGCTGGGACCTGAGCCCTGACGGGACCAGGGGATGCTGCTCACCACGTGACCTTCTGTCCCTGATGGCCCTGCGCACACATGACACAGAAATGACAGCGATGACGAGGATCACGCTGATGATGATGATGATGATGATGATGACGGGGCCCACAGAGGAGCATGTCACGTCTGAGCTTTGGTCCCAGGCGTCGCTTCCCAGGAAAGGGGGCCACTGCACCTGGGGGAGCACAGGCACCTTGGTGCCTGGCACTCACCCTGACCCCCAGCATCCCCTGCACAGCCTGGCGCCCAGAGGGGAAGGTGCTGCCTGGGGTGGGCCCGGGAAGGGAGCTCTGGGGGGAACTCAGGTCCGTCTGACTCTCCCTGTCCCACAGCCACGGGGACACGGAGGGAGGGGAGGAAGGGTCAGGACAACCGGGGGACAGGGACACTGGACACAGGAGAGGGACAGCGAAGGAGATGCCAGGAGTGAGGACAGAGCTGGTGTCAGGAATGGACTGTGAAAGCCAGTGGCCCAGACAGAGGGACAGACTGGGGGGAGGGGGCGGAGGGGGCACAGGAGGAACAGGGAGGATAAAGACAGAGGGACAGATGGGGTGGGAATGGGGGAGGGTGGACACACAGGACCCAGAGCCTCCGTTTGGCAGTCATGCTAGAGACTAAGCAGCCAGGTCACAGCTGGCACCGTGTGTGTGTGGTTTGTGTGTGTGTGTGTGTGTGTGTGTGTGTGTGTAAAGTGATCATGGGAGTTCCCGTTTCCAGGGGAGTGCACTCGTCGCTCTGGGAGCCTCGTGTGTGCACCCCTAACTCCGAATGGCAGGACCCCTCAGCCCTGACACCTGGGGACACCCCGGAACACAGGGTGGGTCTCTGGCCGCAGCGCCCTGGCCCCGCATCTGGGATGTGCTGGGCCGGGCCCGGTCTGTGGTGACAGAGGTGTGGGAGCCACAGGGTCAGCGGGGCAGCTGGGGGTCACCGTCTCCCCGCTGGGGGGCCCTTATCTCCCAGGGAGCCTTGTCAGCGCCTCCTGGGACCCGGGTCACCTGCCTGGTCCAGGGCGTGCAGGCTGCCTGGGTGCCCCCCGCAGAGAAGGTGCCCGGCTGGCAGTCTTCATACAGCGTGTCCTCCCACTCGGTGCCTGAGAAATGACAGTGTCGGGCAGAGGGCTCCTCGGGGACCCCTCAGGCCGGGGTCCCGAGCCTGTGTCCTCAGGGGGAGCAACGCTCACCTGTCTCCCGCACCTTCTGGCCCGGGCAGCAGACACTGTGGGGCCTGCACTGGACGCAGGAGTCACCGTCCTGTCGCTCACAGAAGTGGCCGCGCTCGCAGCCACACACGGTGTTGGTCCGGGTGGAGCAGTTCCGTCTGGTCACCTGGCCCAGGCCTGGGACCCAGAGAAAGAGCTCAGAGCAGCAGCGAGGCCTGCCAGGGCTGGGGGAGCGCCCGTCCCGGGAGGACACCACGCTGAGGGCTGGGCAGCGCCCGCAGGCCTGGGGAGGGCACGGGGACAGGGTCGCCCCCTCTGCTCCCCCTGGACCCTGCCGGCCGCAGCCCAGGCTCAGCCGGAACATAGGCCGGAGCTGCCGGACGCAGAGGCCAGTCCCCA